ATATACTATAGTTTAGGAGTTGTATTAGAAGTAATTTGCTGCTGTAAATTGTCTGTCTGCACTAAAGCTACATACTCCAGTCAAGCGTTATGTTAAAATACGTCTACTTAGGGATGTGTCGTACATATCTATATTTTCAGAGGAAATGCAGTTTGCAAATACTGAATGTACTGAATGTATTTTGCTGATCTGTTAATAACACTTATTCATGAATCCTGAGTGACAAGGTCGAAATAAATAGTTTTGCCTTGGGATGGTGGAAGTGGTTGCTATAACTTTATTTTTCCATTTACAGAGAAAGAACTTCTTGATTCTCTACCCATTAGTAAGAAATGTCCAGAAGATCAAGAACTCCTCCGTTTCCTCTTTGAGAACAAGCTGAAAAAGGTAAAAAGACCAATGTGAATACTTATGACATGAATAGGTTTTGTCTTTTGCATTACTTTTTAATTAAACAGAAGCATTTTACTCTCACAAACTAAACTAAACCCATCGTGGATTTTCTTTTAAAATGTAGACAGCTTTAAAGCCAAGAAAATGAAAACAGAGGCAGGAGAGTTTTGTTTTTTTTATTTTTTGTGCATATATCATGCAGCACATGACATCCCCCAACCAAAGAAAGAAAATAAAGTCTGTCTTTTACCCTTCTTGACATAAAGCAAGAGTTACAATACAGTTAGGCTGTAAAGGAGATTGCTTGGCCAACCACTGTCTTATGTTTGTGGTCCGCTTTGCAGAGCAAATAAAAGCTCATCCGCTGGATTTTTTTCTTGAACATGCTTGTTTTGGGATCATTAAAAATCCTGCCAGCTAAAATTTCCTTCTATTCTGTGCTTTAATTGTCATTGAATGTAAATGAACCATTTGCCCCTACCTATATTGAGTTTTGACAAGGAAGGCTTCTCCAGGATTCCTTTTGATCTACATGCTCCCTAGGCTAATTCATAATTGGCTAACAGGGAGTAGCAAGGAAGTAGGCACATCTAACTAGTTGCTGGGGTGCCTTCTTTGTGAAACAAAATGGATCAGAAGTCATGGAGAGAATCAACCAGCTTTGCAAAATACCATGATGTTATTTTTATCACAGCTGTATTTACACATTTTTGTTGTTGCCACTATGCTGCAGTAACCTTGACCATGGTGATGTTTTTCAGTACAACAAACCTAGTGAAACAGTAATTCCAGAATCTGTAAATGGCCTTCAGGAAAACCTAGATGTAGTAGTCTCCTTGGCAGAAAGACATTACTACAACTGTGACTTCAAGATGTGCTATAAGCTTACATCTGCGTAAGTACAAGAGTTTCACTACACTGGTGGTTTTTTATGTATTTCTCTAAAGTTGTACTTTGTTAAATGCTGTTTGGTAAGGGCAGGTGATTAGTAAATACAATATGCCCATACTGATTGGATTTGGTGGAATAAACTAATTTCTTAATACAGGGGTGGACAAATTAATATGACATTTAGAAGCCAGTTTGTCCAATCCAGGAGCCAGTTCCATTGACAACTAGAGAAAATCTAAAAAAATAGGCAGCAGCTGTAATTTTTAAGGAACATTGGCTCCTGGGATTTGCCCAGCCGTATCTTTAGTAATCAATATACGTAACTTAGTCCGACATATTTTTGTACCAAGGGCCAGAATATTCCAAGGTATGTTTTTTTAAATATTCTAACATAACTAGAATTCAATTTTTCAATGAACTGAGAAGAAACATCAGTTTATGCAAAGAGTGTGGCATTTAAGTAGACTGGGGCGTGACCATGGTTGGGTTTATTCTTTTATTTTGTCGCATTTTCCTCTTCAAAGTTTTTTTTTTGGACCTGTTATGTGTTACATTTCTTTTGACAATGGGACTGCCTACACTAACTACTGAAACTGGGGGGAAAAGAATGAACTCAATCTTATGTGCAGTCTCTGGTATCTGGTGACAAGCAGAGCCATATTTCATGCATTGAGACTGGAGGCAGAGCTGTATAGGGAACCAAGGTGGAACTGAGATTGCAAAGATAAATAACAATGGAATTAGAGAATTGAAACATGGCCATGCAGCCACATTTTGTGGGGGATGCTGACAAACTGGGATTAGCTGCATAGGAATGGAAAAAGTTCTGGAGGCAATAGAAATTAGTCAAATACACCTATCGGGTCTCTTTTGAAAATGTTAAGTGTTTCTCAAGGTTAAAACCTCTGTCAGGCTTTTACTACTGTCCGTCTCACTCTCTTTATTTGCTCTGGTGACCGCTGACACTGTGTAGAAAGTCAGGGGGAAAAAAAATCTGGATTTTAAGGTCATCACTAGAATAGGGGGTGTGGGGAAATCATCCAGTGGGGACAGCTGTTACAATGTCAAGGGGTAATTCTATTCTCCCTGAGGAAAGACTTCTGCTTTCTTCATGTTGCTAACCAAAGTGATACAGACAGGGAAAACAGGAGAAGGGCTCTCGCCAATCCCTACACTATTAAAAACAAACTTATTATATTTTCAACCAGACTTCAGAGATAAAACTTACTGTATTACATTTTCTGTATTTCCAGGGTTATGGAAAAAGATCCCTTTCATGCTAATTGTTTACCTGTACATATAGGCACTCTTGTAGAGCTGAACAAAGCAAATGGTAAGTTCCCAGCTGACATATTCTGTATGTGAATGGTGTGTGCTTAGTTTAGTTCTCTTTATTTTTTGATAATGAAAACACTTTATGTTGTCTTTACAGAGCTCTTCTATCTTTCACATAAACTAGTTGATTTATATCCAAATAATCCTGTAAGTATTTAAGTGTTTTTCCTGTTTATACACTGCATAGTGTGCTGCCATAAGCATCAGCTTAGAATGTAGATGTCACCAGCACGACAGAAGCTCCTAAGTCAGTGCAAAAACAATTTATTAATAGATGTCACTCAGAATAACAAGCGTTTTCGGGGTCCCCTTCATCAGGCTCAGAGTAGACATTGTGTGCGGCGCCATCCGCTGTCATTTCAAGCACCCATTTATTTATTTTTTGGGATTTCCGATAAGGAGTGCTACAGGATTTATGACTTTTGTACTCATAAGCATAAGCTCGCAGTTAACAGTTGTTGCATGGGCATGTTTTTCCTATTTTGTTTGTGGCATGCAACTCTACCTTGTCTATAATGGAGTATAATCAAGCTTCTGCTTATGTAACTTGGCTCTAGCTTTCTTGGTTTCTTTCTTCACAAATTATTTTGGCAAATTGATTTATAAAGGTAGCAAAAAGACTTCAAATAGGACCGCTATAATATAAGCTGTTGTTTACCCACTAGCCTGCGTTTCCATGTGAGACCTCTTGGTTACATTTCTCTCCTTTTACCCTCATCAGTTTGAGATGCTTCTGAGATCATTCAGTATTCATTGCAGGTGCATTTGACCTGATGTTTACTATACATATAGGGAGAGATGGAGAGACCGAGAGAGAGACCCCGACCCCATAGTGTTGCTTACATGACCAGCTTTGACACCAGCCATTTGAGGGTTTGCAAGGTCTGTTGAGAGCCGACATAAGCCGAATGACAACAGTGACAGTTATCACTAGAGGCATGTTTTCAATGTAGCATGAACTGCACATGTAGGTAGGCAGAATGCACATTAAAAAGCTAAAGGAAACAACATTTGCATAATAACATTTATTGAACAATTTTAAGTTAAGCTTTCTTTCTGGAAAACTGTTTAATTGGTGGGTTTAGTTCCACTTTCACTTCAACCAATTGATCCTTTTCATGTATCATACTGCAGTCCACCCAACCTTGATCTTTTTTGCTTTGGTTGCAGTTGGCCCTTAAAGAAGAAATACAATTGTTTAAACTTTTATTAATCCCCCAGAGGGACCGAGTGTGTGTAGCACATGGTCTCATTTAAATTCGGCTAAGCAGTGTGGTCGGACAGTTTACTCACTGCTGTCTGTCCACACTGCTAGCAAGGATATGGAATTTTGAATGACAGTGCTGGTCTCTGGCAGTAGGGGCCACTCTGAAGGCCAGCAATGCCTGTGGACTATGTGTAGCAGCTTGCTACACACAGTCTACAGCTTGTAAAAACACAGCCCTGGCATATCTAGCAAACATCCCCACAGCACTGAGTGACCTTTTACTATTATGAAGGAACTGGCAGTGCTGTGGAGCTATGTCATACATGGCAGTGTATGATGAGACAACCAAATAAAATGGGACCAATTGTTATATACACTTGGTTCCCTATGGGGATTGAATTACCGTATATACTCGAGTATAAGCCGTCCCGAATATAAGCCGAGGTACCTAATTTTACCAAAAAAACCTGGGAAAAAGTATTGACCCGAATATAAGCCGAGGGTGGGAAATGAGGCAGCTACTGGTAGATAGATACCAATAAAATTACATTAATATTTATTTAAAAGAAAAATAACCTAGCTCTGTAAGTGGAAAAGGGGGTACAGGGCTACATATCATGTACTACGGATCATTTAACCCATTCATATTAGCAGAGGATAA